GGGCACGGGCGCCCCCGTTGGCACCAGCAACGCCGCCTCACGTACCGGGCTCGGCCGGCGCCTCCCGGCTCTCCGCGGCGGGCGAGGGCTGCGCGGTCTCTGCGATAAAGGCGCCCCAGCCCCTCGGAGAGTCCGGTCCGGAGGCCCGAATTGCTGCCGCCGCCGCCGAATTGGCTGTCTTCCCTCGCGGTGTCTCGGGTCGCGGAAGAGGCAGCGCCGCCGGTCTCCGCCGAGGCACCCTTGGGGGGCTTCTCTCCCGCGCTGCGCCTCCCCCAAGGGTGCCGCTGATCCCCGCCAAAATCTGCCCCCCCTGTTATGGCGGCAGGTGGTGTCCCAGCGCCGGCGAGTCCTTCTAGGGGGGCGACGAGCCCCGCGGAAAGTTTCTCTTTCCCTGATCAGCCCCCTTCCGCCGCTCCCTTTCCCCGCCGGCCGCCCTCCCAGACCGAGGCCACCTGCTCCGGATCCTCCTTGGCCGAGCGTCGCCCGCCGCTTAACCCCTTCCGCGCTTCACGGCCAGCCCGAGCCGCCTGCCCACCTGATCAGCTCCGAGCTGCCTGCCCGCCTGCTGCCGCATTCCCTCGCACGGTGGGTTCACCCTCTCCCGCGCTCTCTCTCCCTCCCCCCAGTTTCCCTCTTTGCAGGAAGAGACTCCAGCTAGGAGGCGCCACGCGCGCCCTCCTCCCCTTAGCAAAGGTGAAATCCGCAGGGCATGGGTGGGCCGAACGGGCAATGCCGCATTCTGGGCTTCCTCGTCCAGATCGGCGGTGGAGGACCTGGAAGCCGGCAGCCGCCTCTTGGGCGGAGGTTATTTACTCGTGGGATCGCCGGGATGAGAGATTTGCGCGGTGCCCTCCCTCTGCGCTTCTCGATTGTCTGGAAACCCCCCCCCCAGTCGGCTGCTGGGGCAGCGGGGCGCCCTGCCTGCCTGTAGTACCCAACGGGGCGACTGCAGAAGCAGCCAACGCCACATACCATGCGCAGAAGCCTGAAACGGGAGGTGAACCGGAGTTTTATGGAACTGTGTGGAACGCGCCTGTTCTAGTGAGCGTCATGGAAAAGCTGTCAAGTAGGGACGAGATCTAGCTAGAGATCAGGGCCGTTGGGATCGCCTGAGTCCCGCGCATCTTCACCCAGTTAACCCTCACGAGGGTGGCTGGCAGCCAGGAAAGCTATTCAAGGCAGTTTCCATACTGGAGAGTCGGGGTGCACTATCTGCCTTGCTCGAACTGCTAGCGCCATCTAAATGCACTTGGACTGCAGTGGCCATCATCCACATCAAGCAGAGTGATGGCGGCTGTAGTACGAATGCACCTAGAGGGAGCCAGGTCAAGGAAGGTTAGTCTCAAACTCCCTCTGAGGCATCTATCCAGTAAGCATGGGTGACACCCCTGCTGTTAACATGTGGAATGGCTGCTGCACCCACAGTTCCACCTACCTTTTGCCTGCTCTGTAGTTCTGTGCCAGAAATTTCTTCCTTCTTGTAGAAAGAAACCTAATAGCTTTCTCCTTGTTTCCATAAGCTTGATTGGGCAAGTATGTTAGTACGGACTAACACAGCTACAACTTTGAAAACGTGACTACAAATGGTCAGGAAATAGTGCAGGGGTTTTATGCCATGTTTCAAAGGCAACCCCAAATTCCTTGGCTGGAGTAGGACTGTTGAGCTCAGAACCATTGTGCTTGATCACTGTTGGAAACAGGATGCCAGAGGGGGTAGACTGTTGACCTGATCCAGCAAGGCTGTTCTGAAGTTATCTTGAAAGAACTGGTTTTAGCTTTGTTGCCAGAGACTCAGCCATTCCTTTTTACCAACTGTAGCTGCATCTGCAGTTCTGGCCATGGACAGGAATAGTTTGACTGCTGTCATCTGTGATGACAAAAATGATCGCCTAATTAGATTCCTCTAAAATGTTCTGTGTGGAGCTACTCTAGAAGGCAACCTGGAAGCTTCAACTAAGTGCTGTATGCTCTGTTGGATGACAGATGGCAGATGTATGGTTTTAATCAATTAATTAAATAATTAAATACAGATTTTTTAAAAACTAAGTTGTGTACATGGGCACATACAAACATGTCTGGAGCTATCATGGTCAGTCCCATTTCATTTCTGTACTTCTCACAATGGTGGTGGGTGGGGAACAGGTCAAAAGGCAATGTAAAGTATCTTCTCATCTCCTGAAACTCAACCCAGATGTTAGTTTCATCCATAAGTCCAGCTCCTGAGACATTTCGCCATGTGTTCAGCAAAACATTTCCAAACCTATATTCATATTCTTTCTTTCATACCCCAGTTTTCATCCAGGGAGCACAGTATGCTGTATTTGGTTTCCCTTTCCCCATTTTAACCCCATAACAACTCAGAGAGGTAAGTTAAGCTGACAGTGGGTGGCTTGGCCCCATTAACCCATAGTGGAATAGGAATTTGAAGCTGCGTTTTTCAAGGTGCAACAATTAAGCTGGATACAGACCATAGAGATAGGCCATAGTCATTACTCAAAACACTTTAATGTTGCACAGGTGATTAGGATGATTTGTGTTTGCAAGATTAGACTTCAAATGAATGCTATCCTTAAATCCTGAAGATCATCACAAAGTAAGGTGTTATGCCCAATCTGGGAGGTGAGGGAAGCTCATGTGGTCATACTCAGATGCTCCCATTAGGTAAAAATTTCCCACTACCAGTGATGGGCCATTTGTAACATCTGTTCCTGGCCTTAGTGTAACCACCATGCCACATCTGCTCTTAAGAGCTGGGCTTTCTTTTTGAAGTGGCATTCTCAGGATGCCAACCTCTTTCCGTCACCTGTGCAATTTTTGTGCAGTTTAATAAGAAAATCACAGAAGGTGCACACTGCTGTCAAAGAACGGTTATCTCCTGGGGTCCCATCGCTAGAACCCTTTGCTTTCTCCTCTGTGTTAGTACTCTTCAGCACTTTAAGTTTGGGGGCTGGCTCTTTCTAGTTTTGGGTCACTCCTGGGTTGAAAGACTCTCTTCCAAAGCATCGGGCAAAAGACTGAGTTTCCTTCATTCAAATGCAGCCAAAGGAGCCTCTCCCTCTTCATTGGCAGCTTCTACAGTAATGAAAAGCCCATGCGTCCTCTTTTTTGGCCCTCTCCTTTGATTTGGGGGAAATCAATACCTGTGTTCCACCACAGCAGTGCCTGTGACTGGTTTGTTAACTATAAGGGACCCTGAATGAATAGCACTCGGGCGGGTAATTTACCATCAGATCTGTGGGGATAAAAGGGAAACCAATATAAATAGTCAGTAATAAAACTGTTTACTGACACTGGGCGTTCTTTAAATGAGATTTGTATGCAGGGGAGTGCACCTCCGATAAGCTCTCCAGCTTACAATTATTGACTCTCTTGTCCAGTGGAGCTGGGGCTATTATTAGCACCAGAAAGCTGGGAGACTCTGTCTTCATAAAGCACCTGATCATATTAATAAGGAAGGCAACCATATCAGAGTTGAAAAGGAGCTGGAGCACAAGTCAGCATTATTAGTCCTGCTTAAAGAGTAATTGTTGACTGCTGTCAGGGCAGGCATTCTTTTCAAGAGGTAATGCAGCAAGACCCATTAGATGTCTATTGATTTTTCATCAGGTGCTAAGACTGCCAGAACTCTGTGGGACTGGGTGGGCCCAAAGTGCAGACTTGTGTGTGTTGTGTATTGAAGAAAAATGTCATGTGGTCTGCTTTTAAATATATAGTACTGACCGAGACACACAGAGAGAGAGACAGACACACACACGGAGGCGGGGGGAGAGAAAGAGAGAGAGAGAGAATTGACTGCACATTTTGGTTCATATCCAGTTTTTAGAATATTGAATGAAGGGAATTCATACTTAACTTAATTCAGAGGGTCTTCTCTAGTGGTAATAAACAGCTGGATTTAATCCCTTTCTTCGCAGGAATGTTTTGCCCCTATTTTAAAGATGTCGGGCATTTATTTATTTCACAATTTACAAACATAGAAACATAATGCATCCAGTCCAGTGTTTCCCAAATGTTTTTAATTTTGGACCCTCTTTTATAATAGCTAAGTAACCTGTGACACCACCACCATCACCATATTTGCATTAAAAGATGTTTTTAATGGGGCCTTGGGTATGTCATAGGTATTAATCTCCCTCTATGAAAATTCCAAAGCATAATCCTTTAAAATATTGCAGTGTAGCCATATTGAAATAAATAAGTGTTAAAAGCCTTTGTGGTGAAATTTCTTATAAAAATAATTGCAACTAAAAATGGCAGCCCTTCAGAAAACACTTTGTGAACCCCTAGGGAATCATGATCCACAGGTTGGGAGCCCATGATCTAGCCCCAGTTTGCAAACTCAGACTAGCAACGTATCACCACCGTTTTAGGGAAGATTTTTTTTCCTAGTCCTAGCTGGAGGTCTTCACATTTCATACCATCATGATGCTAGTGAGTATGATGTGTGGGGTGAAGCACATCTGAAGGAAGGACATTTATCCATGTCCAAGGGCAAGTATGTCATGGCAGATCTGTCCATGAATTGTGATGATGATCAGGACTCCTGGTTTTAGA